GCGAAGGTTTGAAACTTTTTTGAGTGTATAGGAAGATGGACAGAGTCTACAGGGGGGGGGGGGGGAGGGGGGTGCTGGATCTTTTGCTCAAGGGATTAAAAAAGAACTCAGAAGTCAGTCGGGGACTAAAACTTCACAGGTGAACAAAAAAAAGGGGATTAAACATTGGAGCGTAGAGAAAGGGTGGGGACTGATTGTGGTAAAAGGAGGAAAGGGGAAGATGGAGTCACCAAAACCCCAAACCTCAGGCATGTGGGGGAAAAAAAGGGAGCCAGGAGGGTGAGGGTGGGAGTGAGGGGAGGGGTGAGGGGGATCATTGCCCACATCTGAGGCGGCTTCGCTGGGGGCCCGGGGAGCTGAGGTCTGGCTGTGTGCCCCTGCACGGCTCAGTCTGAGCTGCTGCAGGCCGGGGGATGATGTGAGGGTGGTGGGGGGAAGGGAGGGCACAGTAGGCGAAGTTGGGGAGGGGAGTATTCAAAGGGCCTACACAATGAGTGTTCCCTCTGCTACGATCTGGCTTCAAAGGCCTCCGCCGCCACTCACATTCGCCATCACGACAGAAGAGAGGACAGGAGAGAGAGTAGGGTGAGAGGCTGGAAATGTGTGAGCCATGAAAATAAGACCAAACTGAGGAGAGTAGAAAACAAAAATAAACAGAGTGTTCTGTTTGGGTCCCATGTTACCTGGGGGGTCTCTTCCCTCACTGAAAAGTACCTTATAATGGGAGCAATTTTAGGGGCCACATTTCTCGACTCACTGACAAAAGAGGCTGCAACGCCTAAAGGAGCCAGCAGGGTAAGAAGGAAGGTGGTGGGTCACAGACGAAGGACAGAGGGAGGAAGTGAAGAAGACATGACAAAATGCTGCGAGCAGACCCTCATACTGTTACTGCAGCTGCATAAACCACAACACAATAGACCCATGACTCAATCAAAACAAAGCTCCAAGTCCCAGCCTAAACAATGGGAGCACTTTAACTGCATTTTCTGTCCTGTAAACAGACTTCAAGAGCGTCACCTTTGTCTTGATGTCTTTTTCTTTCATACGTGTCAAGTAGGGTTGCACGTTCAAGATGGCGCGACCCTGCACAGCATCCTGACCACGGAGAAGGAAACCTGATTGGCTGCTAATGAACTGCATTTGACAACATAAACTAAGCTGAACTCTAAGATACAGCTCAGGATATTTCCTCATTCACTGTCAGCTTCTGATGTACGTGTGCTAAGTGCTGCGAGGATCATTATCCAAGAGCATCTGTTGGGAGTTCACTTTTATAATTCTCTATACTCCAATAAAAGTAACATTGGCCAAGACGCTGCTAAGATTTAAGCCTTAAACTTTTCCCTCCACACCCTACTCATGAGTGTTTTCTAGGGGAGAGAGGCATTTAGAAAAAAACATCACTTCATCTCCTGTGTAACGGTCACGGTCAGAGTGAGAGTCTGAGTCACTTTGGCAATCCAGATCTCTTCCTCAATTATCCCAGGTCGCTAATAAGGCAGGGTGTGGAGTCACTGGGCTGTGTCTGAGGGGCCTGGAGGCTCGTTGCAAAATTGAAACGACTCGCGAAGTAGAGGTAGAGGCAGAGTCTTTCCTAATTGCAGCTGGAGTGTGTGGCTGACTGCTCAGATGTGTGTGAAAGGCAGGGACGGGCCGGTGGTGATGAGGGTCTCAGTGGGAAAAGGACACAGAGCAGGAAAATAAAAATAATAAAAAACAAAGAAACAGTTACAGCTGTGGGTGCAGTCCCTCCAGGGCCATCAAACCCTGTCCAAGTGCAACCATGGTAAGTGTAAAGGCCACAAGCACGGTTCTGTACGTTTCCTGCTCCTCCACAAAAATATTTTTATGCGTGTAGCACGACTGACTGCGATTCGCCGCCTCCTGCAGTCAATAAGACGCCATCAAACGATCAGTCAGTAACATAAAAACTGAAGGTTAAGTGACAGTTGAGTGAGACTCGGTGATCACATGACTTCAACACAATGATCTCCCTGCTACTTTATTTTAGCTTTTCTTTTCTGCTCTCTCTTTCTCACAGATACAAAAACACTTCTTTACTGTACCAGGGCACATGCTCAGTTATGACCATGTGACCCATGACTCACTCACAGAGTTCAGTTTTAACAAGCTAACCTGAGTCATGTGGTGAACATTTTGATGTATACTCTATGCGCATGGAGTGAAAAAGTGACAAAAGAGCCGAAGCCATTGTAGAACACACAGTCAAAGAAAGATGACTCATGCAGTTTTATGGCAGTTTGTAAGTGTATGCAACTCCACAGGCTGCCACTAGCCAAATAAAAAGGCACCTTTGTTTGAAAGTGTCTGCCCCTGTGAGAAAAATGTGGAGCTGCTGAAACGGAAGAAAGCCTTCAGGGCAGGTGTGTGCGTGTATGTATGTGTGAGTGTGTGTACCAGAGAGCCTGTGAATCAGCAGGCTGAGTCAGACAAAACTGTTAAAAGAAAATAAAGACACACAGGCACACACTCCTGGTGGCAGAACACATTAGTTTAGTTTGTGTGAGTAAAGAAGGAGCCGGGACGTTGACAGATTCTGATGAGGGACAGAAACCCTCATTTCACAATGTCAGAGTGATGAGCTTAGTGTATGTATATATATATGTATATATA